GGGGGGGGGGGGGGGGGGGGGGGGGGGGGGGGGGGGGGGGGGGGGGGGGGGGGACACACGCGCACGCTGAATGCGGGAAGGCGGGGAATGCCGCGCCCTGCGAGCGCGCGTCGTCCCCCTCGTGCGCGCGCGCGCGCGCGCGCACGGGCCATGCACCGCCGGCGTACGCCTCGTTTGTCGCCCCCTGGGGGGCCAAATTGCGTCTGACCGCGGGCACAAAGAAGGCGGGTGTGTGGAGGCCGGCCGCGCGAATACCTCGACTCCGGGGGCCCCGGGCCCGCGCTATGACGACCGGGCGACGCGCCGGGCCCCGACACGCCGGTACCCAACCCCACCCCCCGATTCCGCGGGATGTTTGGTCCGCCCGTGGACGGGGCGTGTCGGCCACCCGGCCGCCGGGAAGGGGGCGCCAGGAGGCCGGGCGGGGGAACGGAGCGGAGCGGGGGCAGGGACGGGGGACGGCGCGAACCCGGCGCGCCGGTTGCCAGGCCCCCCTCTCGTCTGGCATGGGCGCATAGCACTCGGGTGTGCCGGGCATGCGCGCGCGCCCCCACGGCCGGTAGCGTGCGCGCGCTGGGACGGAGTGTCAGGGGGGGGGGGGGAATGTTTGTGCCATCGGAGGCCGGGGGGCTGGAAGGGCGCCGCGCGCCTCGCGCCCGGGCGGCGGGGGATGGCCGTTTGTATGCATCTGCTGCCGGTGGCCGCCGGACTGGACACGCGCCTCGTAGGACGGCGGACGGCCTGCACCCCCCCCCCCCCCCCCGGCAGACCTGTGGCCCAGATGGATCGTCCCCGGCCGGGTGGGCGGCCCCGCCGCCGCGCCGGCGCGTGCACGTCCGGCACCCCGGCCTTCTCCCCGCCCCCATGGGGAGGCGGGCGAGGGGGGTCCCGCCCCCTGGGGGCTCGGGTCCCCACATGCCGTTGGCTACAAACAGCCTCGTACTCCCTGCGCAATATGCGGGCGCCTGGCCCATCAGCGGCCTCGTGCAAGACGACCTGTCTCGCTATCCCGGAGACTCCCCCGGGCAGGGCGAAGGGGGAGGGAGGGGGGGGGCGAGGGGCATCGCCTGGAAGGCCTCCAGACCGCGACACACGGACGGCCGGGCAAGGGGGGGGGGGGGGGGCTCGGGTCTCGGGCGGCGTCAGCCCCGAGCGCCGACCCGGCCTCGGCCTGACCACCGGGAGAGGGGGCTGGCCGCCCGAGGCACCCCTCCGGGCGGGCACGCACGCGCGCGCGCGGCCGACGCCCGTCTCGGGGGAGCCGTGTGTTTGGCCTTTGTTTGTGCAACGGGGCCACGAGCCGGACCCCCGCCCCCCCTCCCCTTTGGGTGATATTCGGACCGAGGGAGGGGGCTGCCGGCCTTCCCCGGCCCGAGACCGGCCAGTCGGCCCGGCCTCCCTGGCGGATCCTGGCCAAAGGGGCCGCCGGCGGAGCACCAAGGACTCCCCCCCCCCCCGCCGGGCGTACCTGCGCGAGGAAACAACACCCCGGGATATTCCGACCCCCGGTGCAGAGGGGAGACCAGCGAGGCCGGGGCCGGGGCCGGGGCCGGGCCGGGGCCGGGGCCGGGGGGGGAACAGACAGGATCACAGCCCGCCGCCGGGCGAGAGCGTGTCTCCCGGCCAGGCTGCAGCCTGTCCTGTGTGCTCCCCCCCTCCCCCCTGCGGTGCTGTTTGCCAGGACGGGGGATGCCCGCCTGCCGTACACGGCCTCGGGGAAGGAGGGGGGGGGCTCTGCCGGCGGATGGTCCCAGCTACATGCATGTCGGTCGCACGCAGGCGTGTGGCCGGCAGCAGCCGGGACAGGCGGACGCGCACAGGCATGTGCACCGCCGCCGCCGCCGCCGCCGCCGCCGCCACCAACGGTACGCCGCATGCGCGCGGACATGCTGACGCCCTCGGGGCTTTGGGATCCGGCCCAGCGCCACACGGCGCAAGGTGGCTGCCGCCGGGGGGGGGGGGGGCCTGTCGGGTCGGGCGAAGGGGGGGCACGGCGCGGGAGATGGGCTGGACGGGAAAACGTCAGCCACTTCGGCCCGGACAGCCGGCGGGCCTCGCTGCCGAACGAGGGTCTTGCCGTTTTGGTCGCGCCTTTCCCTCTCTCTCTCTCTCTTTCGCTTGGTCTCCCCCCCCCCGCCTGGGGGTGTTTTTTGCACCGGTGTGCCTGGCGCCCCCCCCCCCCCCTCCTCCCAGCAGCTGGGTGCTCATGCTAAATGAGGGAACCGAGGGGCAGAGCGGAGGGGGGGGGGGGGGGCAGGGAAACAGGCGGGCGGCTTTTCCTGCGGGGATTTGGGCCCGAGCCACGCCGGCCCTCATGTGCACGCGCATACACCCG